ATTCATGTGTCTGAAAACAAATCTATGACTTATTCGATTCATTTATTGAATATATACATGATCAGACAAACAATGTAAAATTACATGTATGTTTTATGTGTGTAAATATATATTAAAAGGTAATAAATTATGAAGAATTAGTAAAAGCGAATGTCATTATTATCTGCTTTCAGACACATGAATATGAAATTTGAGACTTAAATATACAGAATATGCCACAATCAGAATAACGCTGGGTATTGCACCTACTGGTTTATTCCATGGATACATATGTTCAAGATCTTTAGACTTTTCTCCTCCTGAACAGCCAATGTGATAACACTAATGACTGGTTACCATACATGGCATTTATACAATTTAAATGTAATTCATGCAACTAGTGTACAGAGCATATATACAAAAATAAACAAATAATGCTTCTTGAGAGTGAATGCCTTCCCATAGGGAAGCTATCAATCCAAATGGAACTCCAATTTTCTTCCAATCCACAAATGATTTTGTAGAGGAGGATCCTGTATCTGAATATTTATACTATACCATCAGAACACAAGGTGATCTAAACTTCACCTATTAATATACATGACATATACAATTGCAATCCTTCCATTGTACTGCAATTCAAATGATGTACAATATTTGAGTCACCACATAGCAAGTAAGTTATATGATATATGAACATTTGCATCTCCTATGGATGTATTTACAAACAAACAAAAATATTTAGACCTACTTCAGATCACAGAGAATAATACAGAGAAAAACACAGGCTTTCTAATTATGCCAGCAATCCAAGGTAACACTGTAAGTTATGAGCTAAGGCTTTGTACTATCTCAAATTAGGAAGAGACAATAAAATGGTCTAAAGTCAGACAGTTAAGTCTTATGATCGTCAGGACTCCGTTCCATTCTCAATGGCTATTATACTTTTCTTTTAGGGCAATTAAAAATGAACATGCACCGAGGAGTTAAAAAAGGGCTAAAAGATATCAGTAAATATCTGTCTTTGGAATTTTGAAAGTTATATACTGTACTGATTAATATTACTGAATCACTTGGGATAGAAACCAGCTGTCCCAAGACACGGGCATTTTGAATTGCAAGATGCCAAGAGTAAGAGAATACAACATATTTACACTTAACAGGTTACTCCACTGTATTTATCAATTCCTAGCAAGGTTGATTTAGACAGGGTGGAAATATCTACATATGTCTGTGTTCGGACACAGGGAAGCAGGGAAAAGATAGAAAGCAAGGCTGCTCTTCTAAATAATTACCAAGAAACCCAAAGCAAAGGGAGATATAGCAGAGGTGTGCCTGAAATTAAGCTGCATTAAATAAAGACAAGCAGAGGCACACATGCATAATTTACGGTAGTATTCTTAAGCTGAGAGGCTATTCAGTTCTATCCTTTCATGCTTTTAAGAATTTAATGTTATTTAGGCAAGCAGGTTATCCTCCAGGGAAGCTCATATATCAAAGAATCACTATGATAAACCCCTTATTCGGTTTCTTTAATTTAATGCAGAGTTACTGATATTGGTTAAAAAAAAACCGAATTAGTCCATCCATTAGGTTCCTAGACCTTCTGCCTCTTACCCAACCTTTGCCTTATTCCGCAAGTTCAGCCTGATACTGAGGAGAGTTCATAATCACTGGATGAACTGAATTGTCTTTCAATTTTCCTTTGCTCCTTGATTTTCTGTGTAACATCAGTTTTCTTCTCGAAGTAGTTTACTAAGACTGATTCTGTAAGGATAGAGGCTAAGATCTGTTCAAAGGAGATGGACCAATCTGTATCAACGGTGCTGCCACTTCGTGCGGCTGAGCTGCCTGCCTCACAACCAACTAGAACTGTGTCATCCGCAATATCTTCACATTGTAAGGAGCCTGTGCTAACCATAGAATATGAAGACATGGACATATCATCTTTAGTTTCATCATCTGAAAACAACTGTATGGGTGATCCTGGACCTTCACCTCCTCCATCTACAAAAATCTGATTTTCCTGTTGGTGTTTCTCAATTTGAATGTCCCCAGAAGCTTTGCCTTCTGGAGTAGCCTGAGAATATTGCTCTAGGATTGAACTCTGACTTTGATCAGAAGCCGGAGACTCTTTACTCACAGGGTCCTTTTTAACAGGCTGATTAGAGAACTTTTTGCCAACCTCTCCAATTTGTAGGAGAAGGCTAGCAACAGTGGCAATGGCATGGTATAGTTCTTGCTCCAAAGAATCTTCGCTGAACATGTTATATAGGGTCTTGCACAATTCTATAAACTGTTCCTTAAAAGAAAGAAAGACATATGATACCAATTAATAAGGTGAAATAATGCAAAGCCAATGTCCACTTCTGATTGATGCTCTCTTAATCCTCCCAAGTTAACCTCCCAGCAACAGCATTGTACATTCCTATTTGAGATATTCACATTGTAAAAATGTAGACAATTAAGTGTTACATATTAATGATCCAGACCAGAAACACCTAATAGCTACAATGTATTTATAGGCATTGATACTATATGACTGGGTCTTTAACTCTAAAATTTGTTGGTCAAATTCATCAACCAATGATAAAATATACAATATTTCCACTTTGTAAGAAGGTCATCTGATTTGGACAATTAGAATGGAAGTAAGTGTGCCTGTAAATCAGTGTATATTAGTGATTTTTAATTTTAAAATGTACTTCCATTTTTAGATTGGGTGAATTTAAAGCTATTTTCCATAATCACAAGTTATGTACCTAGTTATCTTATATAATCACGTATAGAGTATTTGTTTTGAATCTCTTGTTTGTAATACTAAAAAACTAAACAAGGAGTTAATTCATTTTTTCTATTATCACAGTCCTAGTATCTGGCATTCTTTCAATGTATCTCTTCTATCCTTGTTTTGGTGATACTGATGTAAAAGTTAAAATAATCTCTAAATAAAGAAGCTAATTTTTGATTGTTTTGGTTATTCCATAATTTTACAGAATGAAAATATTGAGCGCAAATCCTTATAAGGGTATGCTTTTTCAGTCCATTTTATAGGGAGGGAGAAAGCACGTGTGAGCAAAAAGAAAAGGAAGAGATTCAAGTTTTAAACTCCCACCTCTACTGTAATAAATTATCCTATAACAAATTATCCTTCAAAAATAATATTATTCAAATATGGCACAGGTCAAATCACTTCAGTTTCTTAGTCCTGATAGCATGACAATTTTCCTTAAAGAAAATACCTCAAATACATACCTACATATACCTAGATAATGTACACACACACACACACACACACACACACACACAAACACACCCCAACTCAATAACAAAGTTACAGCACTAAAGTTTTCATACTTTCTTAGTCTAACATTCTAAAAATCTCCTTCAAATACATCATTTTAAACCCATAGATTCTCCAGCAACTTTCTACCTGACTCATCTTAGGGAGATCTTTGATTGTTTCTTTTCTGGCATCTTTTTCCTTGGCCCACATTCGCAAATGGTATCTGTAATCATGAGGACTTGTGCCCCTCTCTGCAAGAAAGATTAATTCAATATAAATAATGCATATTATGAATTCTGATAATGTCAGCTTTGCCCAGAGATTTCCTTTAGAGCAGGACATCTTTAAGGAAACTACTAACAATAAGAACACTTCATTACCTTGATCTTTGGATTCCCCATCTCTTCCTGATTTATTTTCCTGAATATCTGTTTCTATAAAATCAAGGACATTAAGAATAATGGTTATTTTTATTAGAAGTGAGGCATTACAAACAGTACCAATAAATGTTATCCTAATATTGCCTCTAGACTGAAATAGATGTAATGAAGATTCTGGATCAAAGTTAAGGAAAGGCTACTATAGTTACTGTAGAAAAATGTACAACAGGCTAAAAATAGGTGAGGTCTTTAACTCAATTTCTTTTGCCCTGAATATGCCTTTTCCTTTTAAAAACTGGTTCTGCTTTTTTAAACTACAAAGGGGAAATTAATTTAGCCGAATATTTGCCAACAAAACACTTTCAACTTAACTATATTTGTTAATGGGGGCAGCACTGCCGAACAAGAGTAGGTCAAATGGGTTAAAAAAAATTGTTCAGGTTATTGTTTTTATCATTTCATTTTTCAAATGCACTGTGAAAAGAAATCAAATCATAGAAGAAAAGCCAGAGGATTCTCACTTGCAGATATTTTTATTACAAAAACATCAGTTTTCCCTACCCTGAGACCTTCCAGGTCCTTGAATTCCCATACATAAGACTTCTCTTATAATCCCAATATATCTAAAGCATGTTAAGATGAAAAAGACAGCTCTGCATTTAAATACTTTTAATCCTGATACACTGGGGGATTGGGAAGATATGGAGATGAGCAAAAATGTAAGTTAGGTAAAATAATCAGTAACCAGATATTTTAAAATTCAGAAAACAAGTGATGTACTGGTAAGACAGACTTCAGATAAAATTACTAAAATACAAATAAAGGGTTTAATTAAAAAAGTTCAATTAATATAAAATGTATTGTGGTCACAATCTGATGCCCTATGTAATGATATGCTTTAAACGGGATCCGGAAAGTCCTTTCTTACAAAGCACCCCTAAATAAAATAAAATCAGTGTTTAGAGTTATAAGACATTTGATTATCAGACTCTAAACACAAAGCACAGACATGATATATGGTATAGTTATCCCAGAAAGCCTGACTCTTTCTTTTTGAAAATGAAAGGTTGTACCAGATGATCCATAAAATATAATCAGTGTTTATATTAATAAAATATTACCAAGGTCTTCTGGAAGGAGAAACTACATCAGCCACATATTTGACATGGCCAGGAAAAAAAAGTGCAACAGCACAGTGTGTGTAATGATCAGCAGGAAAAGAAATTGAGTAAATCACAAAACCTAGTTTCAAACAAAAGCATTTCCTTCTAGAAAAAAAAATCTCAATGCTTTCACTTGGAAGCAACACTCCTCCTAATAAAAGGAAATAAAAGGCCAGCCATTAAGTAAGCAGGAGAAGTTCCCCTTTCCTGCATTGCTCCTGGTCAGCATTAAAGAATCTGAAGTCTCCTCCACAAAAAGATTCTTGAGCTTTGGAAAAAGGGAGTCCGGCCCTGCAACTCCTTCATTACAACAAATGGAGTCCAAATCTGACATTAACAAGCACTTGGGGAGTTTTCTAAAGTAAATCCAAATGTGTGGAAGAAACTACGGAGTGTTTTTCATTACAGTGTGTATGTGTTTACAAAACCTCCAATGGAAAGAAGATGGGACTAACAGGATTAGAATAATCATCACTGATATTCCGTGATCAAGCAAAAAAGAGGGCTCACTTCAGATGATCAGACAGAGATTCCTGTATTTTCAAACGAGATACTTCAACTTTTCTTTCAAGTGATGCCATAGTTGATTCATGATGTCCCAGCTAAGATTGCATTAGACATTAAGCTGATTTTCTTTGGAAATTTCACTTATTCTTGCCTCTTGGTAGTGTAGGGCATTTTTGCTTGCTAATGGGGATTTCAATCTCCTTGTAGCTTGCATTTGGTTTTGGATAAGATCAGTATTCCAATCTCTAAACCCAAGAACCCCCTCCGCCATTAACAGGTCCTTATGACAGCTGCAACACAAATAGCCACAGAAGTACAGAGCCCAGTGGATGGAGGGAAGGGCATGGTCGGACAGTAGATCTACCAGGCCAACTGGAGCTCAGCAGACTTCTGAACTCAAAACGCTTCTTCCATGCACCATGAACGAATGCCTGGAAGGGAATCTTATATCATGATAGCTGAGAAAGGTCACTTTACTTGTCAACTGCCTTGGATTCACTTGCCTCAGCAGTGGAATTCAGATGAGATAGAATCTCTGTTGTTGGGACATACATCAAAGAAGAGATGCAGGACTGTCTTTGTCAATGAACAGAAGTATATGACATTTAATACTGAAAACATTTTTGTTTGTGCACAGTGGGTTAGAAACGGAAATAAGATGACTAAGGAAATGAATGAAATACTATGGCTGATTATTTAGCTGTAATATCTGTGGCTTGAAGAAATTCTAAAGCAATTTCATTTTATATTAAGCAGGTCACTTTAGCACATCAATGGCAGTACAATGCCTTAGTTGTTCAGACTAACCTTGCAAATCACAACGTAGGAAGAGATCCAGTTCTGAGACAAAAGGAGATACTAGAGAGCAAAGGGAAGAGAGAAATAAAGAAGAAAGGCTTTGAGGACAGGGAGAAATTCAGAAGGAATGAGTGTGAGTCAAAATATAGAATAACAGAGAGAAACCAAGAAAGGAACAAGTTATAAAAGATTTGAGCAAGTACCTTGGGCTATAAAAGGGGATAATTAGTCTGACCTATGTTTAATATACAAACAACCGCCATCCACCATAATCCATGACAGAGGCTAGAACAGTTGTGGGATAATATTCTGATGGAAAAGGAAATAAGAAAATTCTGCTTGGCTTCAATGTGTTTGCATGCCCATTTTCCCTATCAGATAAAACATCTCATTTTTACCTTCTGTAGCATTATTATCCGTGAAGTAGTTTGTAGCTTCCTGAGCAGACTCTGCTTCCTCTGAATTGAAAGCTATACAAAGAGGAAAAAAATGTTACTGGATGTATACTCTGTTTCCTTAAGAATTACTTAAGATACCTCTGTATACCTATCTCTGATTACAGTACTGGACTTCAGTTGATCACTTATATCCAATGGAATCTTTCCACTCAGAAAATGCAGTTGGTCTTACCTGAACTGCATGTCTCGAAGGATGGCGTGGGAGCAGTCACAGCTGGGTATTGTCACGGCCCATCTGCCCGGAGACTGAGGTAAATCTTGAGGCCACACCTCTACCCCTCTTCTGACTCTCCAGATTAATCGCTGCTCCAGTCAAGGCGTCTCTAGAAGGAAGGGAACAGGGTAACCCCCCCCCCCTCTCCTCCTGGTCCCTGACTGATCGGTAACACTCTCTCAGGCCCACCCTGCGCGGTGCGCACTACGGGAGGGAAATGACTGCTCCCATGCCATCCTTCGAGACATGCACTTCAGGTAAGACCAACTGACAGTCTCCGAAGTGGGGCGT